AAGCAACTGGAAACCCAAGCAGCTGAGGAATCCTCCGGGTTGGCGACGGAGGCGCTTTGAGTCATGAAAAACGTCTTGTGGCTAACCTCCTGAGCCGGCGGAGACGCATGGAACGACGATAGGCTCAGATTAAAGGCAAAAAGACTTCAGGAAATAGGTAGCTAGGGTGAGAATTGGTACTTCCTCGAATTTCCCTTTGACTGTGTGACGCGAGGAAGGATTCCCGGGTGGTGTATTGATCGATCTGAGAAAATCCTTCATGTAAAGCCCAATCAATCCATCTTGATTCCACATTTCGTGATAACTTCCTTGTTCTGTTGTATCTCTCGTAGTTTTTGTAGATGCTGTTCCGTTATTAGTCCATTAGTCGACTATTTGGCACTCTAGTATTAATAACATGTGTTCACCAGAGAAGATTTCAGCTGTTCCGCTTCCGAACGAGATGGACACAAGTCTGCTAACTGAGCACACAGATTTTCAAACTCGACCTCCATATCTAATTGCTTGAATTTTCTCCCCGAGCAGCAGAGCCAATCTTGGGCATGTGTAACTCTCCCTGCCATGCTGTTGCCAAATGGTTGGCTCGTCTTCTGGAACCAGAGAGGATGACATTAACCCAGTATGGCCTCAAGGATACAACCGGTCTCATTGACGACTTCAGTGGTTTAAACATCAAAGATCGCCACATGTTTTCGCTGGATGTCACACCTCTGTTCACAAATGTTCCGAGCGGTGAAACAATTGACTATTTATGCACGTACATCGAAAGTAACGGAATTGACGTAAGCCTACCGACAGATGACCTTAAAGAATTGTTATTCTTCTGTACTCACAACGTGCAATTCAAATTCAATGAGGAAATCTATCGCCAGAAAGACGGTGTAGAAATGGGATCCCCTCTACGGCCATTGTTTGCCGATGTTTTCATGTCTAAAATAGAAAACGGTCCACTTAAAACACATATCAAACAATGCGTACTGTACAAGCGTTACGTAGACGATATTTTGTGCCTGGTCGATTCCACAACAGAGTGCCAAAATATACTAAATCATTTCAATGCTGTGCATCAAAATTTGAAATTCACGAATGAAAATGAAGCAAACAATCAACTAGCATAGTTAGATGTCTGCCTTACGCGCTGTGATGACAGATCCGTTAGGCGGTCAGTACACAGGAAGGTGACTTGGAATGGGCAGTACATTCATTTCCGTAGCTTTGTACCACTCAATATGAAGAAAAATCTCATACTTTGTTTGTTTGATAGAGCTAGAAAAATTTGCACGAAGGACATGCTGGTTGAAGTGCTCCAAAATGTGTGGAATATCGTCATCCAGAATAGATATTTGGAGCGTTTGGTGGAATCTATGATGCAACGGCAAGAGGCATTCCCCCAAGAGGGTAATTGCTGAGACGAGGTATGTATAAATTTCTTAACCGTTTAAAGGTGACCGGGTAATCAATCGAGACCGGTTCAGTTCAATTCAGTGCCCAGGACGGTGGCTGCAGCTTGCCAGGTTGTCCAGTTTCTTGCACTGGTGAGTCAGGTCAGATCAGGTCGGATCACAGGACTTACAGCGAATGCCAATTTGAGTCCAGGTTGTTGCATCGTCAGCGTGACGTTCGCCTGCGTATGCTTCGACAATAGGGGATCCTTTAAGAGCCGCTTTGTTGGCCCCTGGCTGCCGACTTGGGGAACGTTCCGGATCAGTTGCTACTTCCGCAGCTGATATAGTTTATTGCTGATAAGGAGTACCTGTAAAAAGGAAGAATAAGGAGTGCCTACAATGTAAGTATGCGCCTAGCTGAGCGGTTAGTGGGGTGAAGCGATTATGTACCCTAGACGGTTTCCTAGTTACAGGTGGGTTCGGATATACTCGGTAGGGTTCAAGTAGAGCCTGGAGAGTAGTTATAATAATGTGTTAAATGAAACGTGGTGGAAGGTATGGTAGGTGGAAGCATTTTGAGATGTCCTCGTTTAAGCGGATTCAGTAGACCATAGGGTTATTCGTCCGAGCTGCCCGCGTACTCTTCCAGTCATCTGTGACTCCGCGTCTCCTATGTTCATTTTTCAACTACACACACGTTCAGACACGCTCACATGAGAAACTTACCAACATCTTCCTGTCCATTCAGAAGGTTGAACCCGGTGACTTCCAGATTACCGGAGCGGCGGGTCATATGTTTATGGTATTCGTCAGGAACCCATCTGGCTATCAAGCCTTTTTAGTCTATCTGCATCAGGGTAGAATTTCTGACTCTGTCAGGTTCCAAGCGCAGGACGCATTAGCTGCAGTCCACCCAGGGCCCAGCCTAACTCGTTTTAGGAGGATGGTGGTGGCT